TTTTTTTTAAATTTTAAAAAAAATAGATTTATTTTTTAGTTTTATAAAAAAAAAAAAAAAAAAAAAAAGGACTTAATTTTTTTTTAAAATTTCCACAGAGCTCCTCCACTAGGACGTGCATATTAACAAGACCTTAGGGTTCTTAAGGTGTCATCTAAAGATCGGCAACTCCAGTGTGAACCATTGTCACCATTGGAGGAATGACGACGACTATCCAGGCTCTCTATGATGTACAAGATAAACAATGGGCTGGTCCACTGCTCCAGCATTTAACAGAAACTGGTCCCGCTCCCCCACAGACAGCGACGAGGCCATGATAGGCAGTTCCTGCTCATACCAGCAACAAGTCAGTACAGGAACTGCTCATTCATGCCTAAGACAATCAGGGACTGGAACAAGCTTCCAAAAGAAACAGTTGAGGCAACAACACTTGACACATTTGCATCTGCTCCCAGTGCATGATACCCTAACTAAGTTGCCCTTGCAACCAGTGAAATATCCTCTTCAACACCAGGCACCGAAACATTGCAAACCCCCTCTACATGCATAGGAGCCAGAATGATCAATAAATTGATCGTGAGCCCTTAATTTATAGAAGAAGAAGTGAACGGGTGGTGTTTAATATGATCTCTGTATATTATGTCTACATCAAGGGTCAAATAATATATCCAGTCACTGGTTAATGGATTTCATTACTAATTCAACAAAATCCCTAGTAAATTTAAACAGTTATGTCAAACCCTCATCTCTATAGCCGAAAACCCTAAACTTTTGACTATTGCGGGAAAGACTGAGGTGACACTGAGGTCGAGCTGTATAGGGATTATGAAGCATACAGTATGTGAAAATTTAATAAACTACAACACAAAAGCAATATGTCAACAAACGCATTTTTACAGGCTACAAAATTTAAAAAACTTAGCCCAAAAGTAAGTAGAAAAACAGTGCCATAGATAAGACACAAAGCAATATGTGTCAGTAAAACTATAATGCTCTACCCTAGACGTAACTGATAAATCTCTTTACTTAACAGTCAAATCACAATAATTATTCCTTATTCTTTTTTATATTATGAAGCAAAAGGATAATATTAATATATACAGAGACTCAGAGAGCAGCAGGACAAGTTTTTTCAATTTCAAATAATTTTTGTTTTTCATGTTTTGTATTGTCTGCTTTAATTTGTTCGGTCTTTTTTTTCAAGCCAAAACATATCTTATTTCACTATATATTTATATTGTACTAAGCAAGTCTGTAATCACAAACTATTTATTTGTCAACTCTAACTGATATCAAAACTATTAGGATTACATTTTTCAACTTACCCCGAAGACAAAATGCCCATGGATAAAGACAGCTTTAAATTCATAAATTCGAACAGCAATTCCAATATACATTCTAAAATTTTGATAGATATTAGTGTCTTACTCACTTTCTTCTTTGTTGTCAACATCTCAGCTCGACTGAAGAGTTCTGCACAAAACCTCGGTATAATTCCAGTATCGTTGGCCCGACCCATGATACTGAAAGGAAATATGGGAAAGCTTGTATACACGAGCTTCCAAATTATTAATTTATGACAGTTTTATTTATAAATAAAAATGTCTTATAAATATATATTATTTCATATCAGGCAATAAGATAAGATAGAAAAATGATTATAATAATTTATGACATTGTCACCATGTGAAATTTGCATACCTGTAACTTTTCCCACTTCCTGTTTGGCCATAGGCAAAGAGACAAGTGTTGTAGCCTTCAAATGCTTTCCCCAAGAGTGGCTGCGCAAGCCTTGTGTATACCATTTCCTGGTCACAGAACTCGGATGATGACCCTCTGTCATGTGACCAGAAGGAGAAATCGTAGACAAATCTGTGCACATTCCCATTGTCAGATGTCATGGTTGTTTCGTTGCCAGCCATTGAGACAGCGCATCTGACGTTTGGGTCATCTAACTCTCTGAAGTAAGAAAAAAAACAATGAAACTAAATACTCAACAAGTCTACTTTGTAAGCATAATCACTATAATTGTAATTATAAGGATTGATTTCATAATATTGTCATGTGTGCTTTTGAGCCAACAAAATAATCAAGTGTTCCACGCCTGTTAAGTTTGGAAATAATAATTTTGTTCAGATACTTCCTGAGTCAAATAAAAATTACATGGACAGCCTATGAAGTAAAATATTTATAAAATGTTCAACATTTTTCTCATTACATATTACGAATGCAGCAAGCAGATGCTTCACTTACTAATAAATTCATAGCTGAAATTCATCTTTGGTAGTTGAAAAACCTAAACCCTTGAATATAATAATAAAATCAGAACTCTATTTTAATAAACTATTGAGTTAAGAGATAGCTCTTTGAAATCACCTTTGACAAAATGGCCGCACCCTTACAGCAACCATAATACTGCAGCTGTCCTCTCCATCTTCAATGACATCCGTCGATTCATCATGAGCAACTGTGTTCCAAAGCCTGGGTGTCCCAAAATTGACATCACGGTAGCAGTCAGGCGTGGCGAAGAGCTTACTCTCCAATGTATGCCTGCGTGCATTCTTGCCATGTGGCGTGTGAAAAGGACTGAGAGCAACACTTTGAATTTGTTCCATCGTGGTCCTTCGGCTGTCTAAATATGAAGGTGTATCAGGTTTAATAAAGCTACCTTCATTGCTGCTACTTTCATCTTGCCTACCCACACCTGAGTTAGATTGTGGAGCTTTTTGCCCGTTGCTTGTTCTAACAGTGACTTTGGCAGACACATCTCTTTTACTTATCACCTCCTGATCATTTAAAGAAGTTTCCACCTTGCTCGCAGGCTTCACTTCAGCAACTTCCTGCTGAGAATTGGCTGACCTGGTCATCTGATTGCTGCTCCTTGGAGTTGTGGCATTGTTGTTCAGATTAGTTGCTAAAGCGCTTTTAGTAGATATTTCTTTGCTTGCATCTGTTGATTTATCTACTCCGTTGTCCATATTCTCTTTGCCGGGCCCCGACGACCTTCCATTGCTGGCAGGCGTAACAGCGGTCCCACCATTTCGTGATCCATTTATTCTAACTGGCGTATCAAAGTGAAGCAGTACATCTTTTTTGATTTTCCCTACTCTCTGTGTCCCCCCAATGGAAGTTTCAACAATGTCATCATTAAATGTCACAGATTTTAAAAAGGGGCTCTCTGGTCGTGCATTTGGTGTCACCACACGCTTGGCTCTAACCACTTTTCTTGGTGACACATTGGCCATAGTCAAAATCCTGCAATAAGAAGGCAAAAAGAATCATAAATGAAAACTAAATTTCATGTTTAAAATGCTAATCTGAGGTGAGTGACAGGTGAATATCAGGTAGTATAACTCCACCTGAGCCATGTCTCAGGTAGTATAGCTTCCACCTGTTCCCTTTATCAAGTAGTATAGCTTCCACCTGACCAATATCTAAGGTAGTAAGGCACCTGATCCATGTCTAACAACTAAATTGTGATAGTAACTTATACTTAATCTTTACAGTTAGTAATCATGAAAAATTCAATCAACCCATACTCCTTCCATTCAATCATAAATAGCCAATCTTTCTTTCTGCCCAAGTATGTAAGTATCTCTGTATAATTTTGTTTTCCAAGAGCTCAATTTTAAATTTATAGTTGAATGTGCATGCATAATATTTTAACACTATTTTTCCCCATCAGTTGGCAACTTTATATAATGAATGCACTAGAATAATACTATAAACAGTATCAATATACTGCAATGCTCTGTCTTAAAAAGACACCGTGATTGATACAAACAGTATCAGATGACGGTAATTTTACCTTATAACAATGTAAATGTAGTAACTATCATGCCATGTGTATGTCTTACATATAAACCACACATGGGTGACAGTACAAAAGTAATTTCTTGGCCTGTGTCTAAGCCCTCACATTTCACACTGATTCTGAATGTAAATCTGTGTACGCACTACACCCTAACTTAAACCCTGCCACATGATTAAAAGTTTCAAATGCCATTTGTATAACCTGTACTATATCAACATGTGACATGTAGTAGTTTTATTGCTCCATGTGTATGTTGGTCATATTTCAGATAACATTGAATAACATGTTAAGTCCAGACTTATTCTCCATCATCCCATGTTTATGGAATAATTGTCTCACATTGAATAACCTGTAAAATACAGCTTATCCCCCGCCATATAACTTGTAATTGTAATGGGCATGGGTAAAAGTTCAGTTCAGTTGATTATATTATTTCTAAACGAATTTTATATTTTCGCATGTAGACTTACATTTATTCTTTATTAAATTATCTCCAGGCAGTAATGGTTAACTAACACTAAACTGTTCTGTGCTAACTTTTATTTTGATTTGATTTATTAAGTGTCTTTGAACAGCCCCATGATGAAACCCCCTGTCCTTTACCAAATTTGTTTCAAAATTTCAAATAATATTATTTTAGTTATAGTAGTAGTAGTAGGCCTATACAAATACAGTATAAGTATAGGCACATGAAATGCACTTTGACTTTTTTTTTACCCTGTAGCCTGTTAATTTTAATATTTTTTCAGATATAGGCCTATGCCTAAGCCTAATCTTTTTTCTTACTTGAACTTGAAATAAAAAGTAAAAGGCTATTTTCATACTAAATAAGTAATTAGTATGAACAGTGTGTTTCTAGTTCTAGTCTAGTATAATAGTTCGCAGGACCTGAATTCCTTGTGTCAATGAATTTCTACTTATTATTATTATGACTATGTTGTAAATATTTAAAACTAAAACCATCAATGTCAAGTGTCACTAGTGTCAGCCACTCCCGGTTGGGCTACATAAACTACATTATTATTATATATTAATATTATTATTAAAATAAAAAATTTGATGAGTAGGTGGACCACAGTTGAACTCAGTAGGCCCTTGCCCTTAGCCTTAAGTTTAAGCCTTGGCCTTATCCTTAGACTTAGAAACAATACTAGACTAACATCACTATCACTAAATTAAAAGTCAGCGACTAGAGAACTTTTACCCATACCCAGTCTACAACTAAAGTACAGTAGTATAATTATTAGTATACTTAATATGATAATATTTAATAATTAATAATACGAGTAAAAGTATAAGTATAAGTATAAGTTAAGTACAAGTACAAGTATAGTCGTTTTAACGGGTCATAAATATTAAATAATAATATTTAATAAGTAATACATTTCTTAGTTTCTTAATCTTGTGCCTATATTATATGATTTTGATTAAAATTATATAAGTATTATATTATTATTAGTTAGATTAGTCTGATTAGTAAATAAATAATAAATTATAAAGTATAATAAAGGCAAGGCCTACCTTTACAACAATTTTTTTAGTCTTTAGTACTTGTTAAATCCACATTAAACGGATTGGCTTTTTAAATTTTGAGATTCAAATCAAAGTGTACCAATATAAGATTTGGTATTGAAAATTGTAGATATTCATAATCATAGTTCTTGATATTTTTTTTTTACACAAAATTTGTTTGTGTTATATACTATGAAGAATATGAAGTATGAAGTAAGAGCGATCTTCAGCATTCGAAGAAATACGCCTTAATTTGGATTGGCTGCCTCCAGCCTCTCAGACTATTTTTAGTAAATTTGGTATGTTTAAAAGTGATATTAATTATACAAAACAAAATGTTCTTAAAAATTGAATAAATAAAAATTACAATTTTATCCTTTACAAATAATGTTTGAAACACTTTAAAATATAATAAGTGCAATTAATATTATTTATGTGACTAGTTTGTCGTGAAAAATAAAACATTGATTTGTATTTTGAATGTATAGAGTTTTAATTGTTCAAGGGATATCATTCATAATTTTGTAATAAAACGATTTGAAATGCAAGCTTTGAGTTATCTACTCTTACTTCAATGTGTGTCATCGATCAATAACATAACCTTTGAACTTAGATCTACGACATTTGATTGGTTAGTTCCGTGCTTTGACACAGGGGAAGAAAGGAGGAACACATATTAATATTTTACTGTGTACAAAATATAAGGACTGAAACCGGCGACATTTTTCGTCGGTGGTTGTGCGTGCCGAGGCAACAGCTGTGTACATTATTTTAAATTGGAGAACTTTATTAATACTATGTCTGGTCTAAAATTGGGTATACTACGACTAGGAAGAGTCGCTGGAAAGGTTTGTTTATTTTTTAATTAAAGGTAGTAATTAAGTTTAAGTAACTAAAAAGACTGGTAATCCAATAAAGTCTATAAAGTCGTATCCGTATACCGTATATTATAGAATTATAGGCCAGACCTAGCCAACTTTTACTTTCGGGGCTCAAATGACTATGGGCCTACTCACCCAGGTCCAGGCCGTTATTATAGGGATCAGCCTAAATTTATTTAGCATAATCATAACTCATCTTTTCACTTACCACTCAGCGTCGGCTATTACTATTACTATTACAATAATCGTGTTTTCGGGAGATAAGTGAAAGTGCTATTTTACCAGACATAAGTTTCACACTACACTACTACACAGTGCAGTCACAGTGAAGTTGGAGAGAGAGGCATTGGTCACTGTTTTCTCTGCGGCATAGAAAGATAGACTGGACGCTGTTGTCTTGTTGAAGTATTCTTATTTATAAAAAAGTTAATTAAAGAAATAAACTACGACAACTAAATTATTTAATTATTTTCATATTTTAAATTGTATTACAATTTAATGTATACTGTTTGGGGGGGGGGGGGGGTGTTGTTTTAAACAGTGGGCCTGCAGCGCTGAAAATAAGGTTAAGAATCCCTGCCGTAGAGCATTTACTAAGATCGTCCGCCCCCCCTTCCCCCCAAATCAAACATTTTTTCTCTTCCACCCCACTTTCCGTTGTAGTACTACTTCTATAACTCCCATGCCCACATTTAGCCATAAATTCTCACAACTGTCATTGTAACTACATCCCGATTCTCCTCCCCGCTGGCATCCTGTAACGTGATCAGAGGCCATTTTTCGGACCCCTGATACCTGTACTGAGTTTCTCCGTGATCATAGTTTTAAAGTAAAATAATTATAACTTTTGTTTAAAAGAATAATGTTAAAAATATCTGTTTTTTAGGGTTTTTATGTGCAATTCTTTATTATAATAGTCCGCTTTTCAAATGACGTCACATTAAGCTCCCCCTCCCCCATGTCACACACATCATCACAAAAATCTGACCCCCCTCCCCATAGACGCATGACATCATTTATGGATGGCCCCTTATGCAAAAAAGCCATACTCATATAAACTCAAATCAAACGTGGAATCAACAAACACTTCTTCTTTTTTTAAGTCAACAAAACTTTGTTGACAAATAATGCCTTCACTAGTGTCCACACACAGAATGTAGTTAATATGTGGATGCGAGTGCCAGCAAACTGAAAAGACAGTTTGGCTCCAACTGCACTTCTTATTTGTATTTCTTTCATTACTCTATTGTTACCTTAGTCTTAGACTTATGTGAAAACTATGATACACTCAAACTGTTTGCTTACTTACAAGTTTTGGTAAAAGTAAAAGTGCAGTTCGTATTTTAGCATCAGAGCACCAGACAGTAATAGTTAACTAAAACTAAATTGTACGTTGCTAAATTTTCTTTTTATTGGATTTCTAAAGTGTCTTAGAACAGCCCCCAGTGGTACCCAGACCTATCTATATGCCAAATTTTTTCACCAATAAGTTGGTATGCTAAACAAAGATTTTCAAACGGAAGACATGTTCACAAAAACGAAACAAGAAATTAAATTATTTTAAATTCTTTTAAATTATTTATTGATGTTTAACGTAAACAGTTTATTATATCAGAAAAATATCATGTACCGTATCACAAACTTATAGATGAAAAAATCTGGCATATAAGGTGAAACACACAAAATGGAGACATTATTTACATGCTATGAGTATGTACCATTTGGGGGTGGGGGGTTCAAAGTTGCTTTATCAAATAAAAATAAAAGTCAGCTTTGTACAATTTAGGGTTAGTTACATGTCTGGAGTTAATTTAATAAAGAATACACATAAGTTTACATGCAAAAATAAGAAATTCGTTAAGAAATGGTACTGCACTTTTACCCATATTTTATTATATTCTTTTCATTCATTGAATTGTTAAGTTGTATATATATATATTTTTAACAAGTCAACATTTTTAATGTGCTGAAATGAATATGTACAATTTCTTTTTAAAAAAACAAAACATTTCCATTTATTTGGAACAATAAAATAATTTTATCTTATCACTAAAAGAGTAACTGGTAAAATTGTACTTCTTCGAAACGGAAAAGCCAATGCTAAATTGGTAGATTACAATAGTTGCATATTGAAAGTTTATTAAATATAGGCCTACTAAGTATAATAAAAGCATAAATTAACAAATATTGAAGAAGGAACTAGTTGAAAGAAAGCTATTTGATCATAGTTGATGTTTGATTAATTTTGTTCCATAAAATTTTATAATTTTTCATAATTTATAATATTTTTTTTTGCCAAACCATTACTGAGTAAAAGTCTGTGAGGAAGGAAAATTTTGCTCTGCCCATAGCGAATTACGCTTAATGAAAGTCTTGCTCTATCCAGCACCTGCTATTAAATATAGGCATACTATGTATATTAAAAAGAAGGTGCCTTTTTAAAAAATAATTACAAAGTGAAATGACTGCGTTTAATTAGTCCATGTCCGGGGAAGTCTCTGTCTTGTTGCCGCACGATCGGGGGTCAGGGAGACCTGGCGTCTGGGCTGTGTAGAGGTGCATGGGGGAGGACATTAAGAGCTCACGCTCGACGGCCCGGTGACGCCATTTCCCAATGTGACATATTAGAGCAGCATTAAACTCAATACTCTTCATTGACTAAAGGCAGTGCTTCCCCCAGTTGTAAACGTAGCTAAGCCTTTTGGACCTAAATCTGTGTTTTATTTTAATTCACCTTTTTTATTTCATTTTGTTTTTTCTTATCCTAAAAGATATTTTAAAATAAGTCTGTAATATTCAATTATTAAAAATATATTTAAGTAATATCAAGGCGTTGTAAGTTACGGCCAGACAGAAGTGGGATAAACATTTAAGTTAATATTGGTAAACTTGTAAATTGTTATGGTTAGACCGCTAAGATCTTTAGATTACTCTATAAGTGATTGATAGACAAACATCATTGTGTAATGTCAAAGGCTTGAGCACATTGTTTTTAAATTGTACGTAGCGAAAATTCTGTGAAACAAATTTAGATTTTTCAGATGAAATTTCTTGAAGTGTTGGTGTACCAGTATACTGCACTTTATCTATATTTGATTCACACTAGTTGACACTTTTATCCCCATTTCTTTAAGAAGCTTATTTTTATTTTAAAAAGTAAATATGTAAAATATGTGGTGTATCATGGACTTAAATATTTTTTTTTAAAATTCCAAAATGTTATGGGCAATATGGGCTGTCGGAAAAATATTGTATCTCTCACTTTAAATAAACTATTACTTTATAAATTCAAGTCACTAAAATTTTTTAACCCTTAAATTTCTTGGCGCATTTACCAACTAAAGTGTGGCAGCCCAAATTTGGTTTATCATTTATGAGTCGCATGCTACTGGAGCTAATCTAGAAATTTTATGGCAAATATATATGTAGGTATTTAAATATAAAGATAGATGTAGAACGGTGCACTAAAAGTATGTTTTCGTTTCAGTCTAAATATGCCCTGCTAGATGAAAGAGACATCACTGTTGTACAACAGCACGCCATTGAGGTATTATTTAAAAAAAAAAAACATTTTTGAGAGTATGGTATTTTTTGTTGGCATCAAAAAGGAATTTTAATGTGCAATGCACAATTTTTAATGTAAGGCTTATTATCAAAATGTAATCTAGTATTATAGAATTATGAAAGTATTATTCGATATTTAAGAAATTATAATAATTTTAGAGTTTAGGTTCCGATTTTTGCCATTTATCTACCCCATTGTATTTTTGATTTACCAAAATTTGATTGGGGGTAAAGCGGAATTGTCAGAAACCTTTTATTTTATTTATAACTTCCTGAAGGTGTACAGGTTACAAAAATATGCCAAATATTTTATTTTTCCTTGCTTATGCTTGAGCACTAAATATTGATGAACAAAATTTGCTACAGCATTGAGTTTTTTTAATATTACATAATTGCAAATGATTATTATTTTTAAAGTTTTTTTTGTTATTAAATAACTGAAATTGTCATGAAAACATTGAATTTTTTTTTCAGCCAAGAGTTGAGGTCGATAAAAATGGAAATGGGGCTCGTATATATGCCATAGCTCATGACATAGGCAAGAGTAGAAACAATGGGAAATACTTGCATGAGCTTCTTTGGTAAGTTCATGTTTCTGTTCTGTATCATCACCTCTTTCACTGCCTAGTGCTATGCCTATGAAATATACATCTAAATGGTACCTTCCATCTTTGAGAAATTTTCGTATTACTATTATGTTTAATAAATGTTAATTTTAATTCTTTAAGGGAGAGGCACAAAGGAGGGATCGCACCCGGCTGGCGGATCGTTCACAAGAATCACGTAACAGTGGACAACCGCTTAGACAACCTTGAACTGGTAAAAGATGATGGTATGGACATGATACCTAGACATCAAGATGAAGGGTCGGGAGGTCACACAAAAAACAGAGAGAATAGTTTGTATTGGATCACTGTGACCCAGTTACTAGGGGACCCACTGGAAATGGTAAAGACACTTTTTTTCTTTGCCCTACTGCCGCTCATCTTTATACTCAAACAAGTTGATCTCAGCCCTTGGTCTTTATACTCACAAATCTGAGCCCTTTATCATTATAATTATACTAATTAAATCTCAGCTCTTTGTCTTTATACTAAGCAATTTTCCACTCATGTCAAATGATGCATTTTTACCTTTTTTTTCTCCAGAATTATCACCATTTTAACAAGTGGTATGACTTCAATGGGGACATAGTGGATCCAGCAGGTAGGGGAATGTCATTTGTAAAACTGGAGATGTTAATGTCTGCACCTTTCATACTAAAAGGTTGTCACCCAGGTTCTTCAAAATGTCATCAGTCTTTTTTTTTTTTTTTTATCAAAGAATAAAGTTTTGTTCCCAACTGTATGTTTTATAGTTGCAACATGTAAAAAGTTGATATTTTTTTTTTTTTTTTTATCAAAGAATAAAGATTTGTTCCCAACTGTATGTTTTATAGTTGCAACATGTCAAAAGTTGATATAGTTCTAACCTGATGTTTGAATATCACAAAACGTCATAAGTTGAACTCATCCCAACTGTATGTTTTATAATCACAACATGTAAAAAAAAAAAAAAAGGAGATATCAACTCTGCCTGAAATGTAAAGATCCTCAAATTGTGTAGTGATTCATTTTCATCTTCAACTACTCCACAGGTGAGAGCTACATCTATTATGAATGCCACTACCCACCCTGTACCCGTATGGAGAAGGAGTTGAGGGAATTTAGTATATGCGGTCGGTGTCAAGAAGTTAGGTGATTATATAGATTAATCTATCACAAATTTGTGATGGGCGCAACATTGTCATTTCCCATTTATCAACATATTTTAATCAAGACTTGATATTCATATATCAAAGGGCCCATTGATACACCAATCTTGATAAGCATGCTTAAGCCCTCAATCATGCTGTTTAAAAAAAATTGGAAATGCAAACATTTTTTTTTACATATTAATATTAAAAAAATTATTGTAAGTTGCAAATCCCTAACAAATAACCATAGCTAATACCGGTATTGGTACGTGTTATAGATCTTTTTTTCCCTACGTCATAAATAACATAAAAATATCCAATCCCATCTGTACAGATACTGTGGTACCTCATGCCAAGAACGAGACTGGCCATCGCACAAACGATTTTGCCGCGAGCGCAGAAGACATGCAAGGGAGAGTACTCCAGATCGGTGATAACTTTCCTCCACAGCCATCAAAGTCATCCCATTATCTTGCCTAACTTACTAGTCTCAAAGTATTTATTGTTTGAAGATTATAAAACCCTCTAATTGTTTTCCAAGGTGTGTGTGTAAGAATGTTAGGGTTCATCTCACCAGCACAGTGTAAGAGATGTTTGTGCAGAACTAATAAGCACAGTGTACACCATGTTTGGGCAGAACTAATAAGCACAGTGTACACCATGTTTGGGCAGAACTAATAAGCACAGTGTACACCATGTTTGGGCAGAACTAATAAGCACAGTGTACGCCATGTTTGGGCAGAACTAATAAGCACAGTGTACACCATGTTTGGGCAGAACTAATAAGCACAGTGTACACCATGTTTGGGCAGAACTAATAAGCACAGTGTACACCATGTTTGGGCAGAGCTAACCAGCATTTTGAAGGTTTGTCATTCTTGATTGTGGCATCTGTTAACAATTCTGTACTATATTATAATCCATTTCTAAAGGTACAACATTTGTAGCACTTTGTCATCACATTATTGCATGCTATCTTTCCTCCCAAACATGGTTTAATCTTGGTAAAGACTATTTTCAACACATGTTCCCAAACCCCTACACATACCTCAGATATTCCAAGTAGGCCCAAACCCTTATACAGATCTCAAATATTCCAAGTAGTCCCAAACCCTTATACAGACCTCAGATATTCCAAGTAGTCCCAAACCCTTATACAGACCTCAGATATTCCAAGTAGTCCCAAACCCTTATACAGACCTCAGATATTCCAAGTAGTCCCAAACCCTTATACAGATCTCAGATATTCCAAGTAGTCCCAAACCCTTATACAGATCTCAGATATTCCAAGTATATACATACCTCAATGATGTTTTTTTTTTTTTTTAACACACTGTCACAGTGAAGATGATTGTAGTGAAAACATTTTGTGATTCTTTGTTTTAAGTCTACTCTCCATTCCAATGGGAATAGTTGGGGCAACAGGTGAACATATTACGAATATTAGCTTGATACAAGGTATAGTGGCGGTTACCAGATGGCCATAATGGTGGGTGCCAGATGGGCATAATAGCGGATGCAAGGTGGGCATAATTCCAGCGTGGCATAATTGTGGTAGCCATATGGGCATAATGGTGTGTGCCAGATGGGCATAATGGTGGGTGCCAGAAAGGCATAATGGTGGGTGCCAGATGGGCATAATGATAATTGCTGGTTATTTGGCATAATTTTATGAGCAGGATTTGAGACATTGTATAATAAAAGTTGAGAATCTGTATTATAATTTTTTTATATATACACAAATGGTTTTAAGGAAAGGAGAAACAGCAATCCCATACATCTTTTAAACTAAATAATAGACAGCTTACTCAACAAGTACCGTAGCATGACAACTGATGGTATGCTGTGTGCGATCCAGAGAATAGGTTCAGAATATGAGAGCTGTTTACATTAGGAATGAGTAATTTAGGCATGAAGCTCATGGGGAAAACTTTCAAATATAGAAACAATCACTGTAGGTACAGTGCCAGGAGAATTATTTTCAACTCCCATCAACTATAGGACGCCAGCATTCTTGTCCATTAGCATGACACCCTCAGCCCATGGGAACTCATGGCCCCCGATCTTCATTACATTAGAAATCAAGAAACACAGTGTTGTTTGTATTTGTATTGGATAATGTAATAATTGTACATAAATTGATATTACAAGACATATGTTTCTTTTCCAACAGATCTGTCTCTGTGTTGTTGTTTTTTATACTTCTTCATCCTAATTTTTATGCTGAGACCAGCTGAACTCATTCCAAGGCCATTAATTTATTCTTCTTGCTTCCCTTTGTTTCCATTCCTGTCTGATGCGATAAGTCAGATCTTCAATGTTGTCTGTAGTTTAAAAATAGCAAAAATTCAGATCAGTTTATTATATTAATGAGCTTGGTTGTTAAGTTTTTATAGTTAAGTTGTGAAGCTATAAATGAATAATGGAAAAAAATGTACAGGATTGTGAAAATCTATGAAATCTAGTGAACCTGGCTGTTTTCTTAGGATTTACTGAACACAATATGGCAAGGCAGGCAAGCGTACTCTATTATTTTTGTTCTGTGTTCACATAGATTAGGTCTCCATTAACAAAAGTGACCACATGGTTGAACATGAGGCCAAATTTAAAAAAAAAGTAATTAAAGAAATAAATGCTACCCACTGATTTTTTAAAAAATGTCCCTAGTGGTGACAGTTGATCACATTCTGTTTTATTCTTAACTTGATGTGAACATTTATTATTCATGATTGCAAAGTTTTAAATACATTTTTAATTGTTAAAATTAATAGCACTTTATGTTAATATGACTAATTTTTATTTTAAAAAATAGGGTTGTAAATTAATAATATGGCTTGTTTCTTTATGCCGCTGTCTAAATAAGTTTCTTAACATATTTTCATGATTTTATTTTGTTTGTACCCAATTAATGGGGCAGATGTCACAATTTCTAAATCTGTATGTCCATATTTAATTAACATTCCTTTTACATGGCCATATTTATAGTGTTGTAGCACTGGTTTTATCCAATCCTGATTATTGGGTGAGAGGGAAGCTTTAATAATGAATGTTGTATTTCTATGTAAATATTGTAGCCTTTGTCAACAAAAAAAACAAAAAAAGAAGAAAAAAGTGATATTTAAAAAAAAAAAAACGGCATTTTTAAAATAATTTTCCCCTTTGTATTACCTGAGAAGAAAAAAAAAGCAATCTTTTGTAAATGATAATAATAATAATAAAGTTCATTTCAAAAACACACTTCATCCCCAAAGGCTCGAAGCGTAGTACAAAGTCAACAAAAAACAAATCTATAATTTACCACATTTAAAACAAACGCAACACTACAAAAACTAAGTACAAGCATACAATGGCAAAGTCTTTCTAGCCATTTCAACCATAAGCAACACAGCCATTATGCATTAACTGGAAAATAAGGTAGACAATCATGATCCATGAAATATGAGGTCTGTTAAGGCGAGGTTTTGTTGGCTGGTGAGGTCTTTTGATGGACATTTAATGTCTTATTTTATTGTCGGGTATAAGTTATTACAATGAATATTGTATTCCCTGACCTTTTCTTCATAATACTGATGGGGCGACAATGTGATCCATTGGCAGAGAACAAGAACTGGGCTTAGTTTAGTTTTGGTCTTAAGCTTATGAAAATGATGAGTATTGATCCCATTTGTTTTAACACAAATGTGAAGTTTGGCGATGATCTGTGTGCTGCGTGGCAGAACTTAATTTGAGTTAGTTTCTGAATACTACAAAACAATTGTTTGAAATTTTGAACCAAGTAATATAAAACAGTTTTGTAAATAAAACACTTTATTTAACTAACAGATTTTTATACTCGTCGGCTCCATGTTAGTTGTGCTTGGGTTATTTTTAGAATGCTAGTCTTCCACTTCCTTTCCCCCTCTTAAAAAAAAAGAGGAAGATTATCCATGACAAATACTTAGGTTAACAATTTGTAACAATTTAAAAAACAAAAGTAAATGAATTTTAACAATTTGATTTTTTTGATATACAGAAAACTTCAAGCAAATGTGACAAACGTTGGGCCTTGCATAACCTAGTTGTGCCCATTCATTACATGCATCATTCCATGTAGCGTGTGGTCCCAATCCAACCCTAGCTCTGGTCGTTAATTTAAACTCATCATTCCATGTAGAGAGTTGTCTAATCCAAATTAAACGTGACCGTCAGATCAGTTTAAAGAGATTAATATAATTTCCTTAACAGGATCAGTGTAAAGATGAACTTGGTTTCCACTTATCTAAAACATTACTTGCATTCCATAAGATTTGACATTGTTGTGGTTTGTTCTGTCATCATCTGAAGAAGGTGACCTCTTATTGATTGCATTATTTTTTTATTTCTTTTACTATTACAATTATTGTTATTTTTATGATGTTGTTGTTATTTGATACTTTAAGGACGGAGAAATCCTGTACCCGTTCCAGATATCTTTCCTAAATGAAAACGTCTGCTGGAAGATCTGTCGACTTCCTTTCATTCCAAATGTTTTGTCCTCCGTCAGCTCAGCCGAGACAGTAACGAATGCACCTGAGATGTGGAAGTGGAATTGGTAGTTTTCGTTGTGACAACCTGTTGTGTTGTCACACCTGAACCGTCTTTGCCATTATGAAGATGGTTTTAAAACAATTTTTATTAACAGGATATTTCAATGGATTAGAGAAACTGTTGTAGGGAGTAAACACTAAAATAATTGTTTACTAATTATCAAACCTATGGTCAGCCTCCCTGTTTAAGCTTTTAATAACATACTTA